GGTTTCAACATTCATCTTTGTTTCAAGGTCAAAAGACCACTCTTCTCAAACAAGAAAGACTCGGGAAACTCCAAATGTAAAATAATAATACATTGCTTCTTAAAACTCACTCATCACCATGGCTTACATAATACCGCTGTCAGTTTTTCTCCTATAGCTGATATTTCTTCTCAGCTGACCTGATCGACATGTCTGTAAGACTGGTGTTTGCCAGAGTTTAGTCCCTGAACTCCTTCCTCTTCTTACCCTACAAACTCTCCAGCATAAACTCATCCATTTTCCATGACTTCTGTTATCTATTCACCAATAGCTTAAAAGTTCTGTATGAGCAGAAGCTACTCCCTGAGTCTCAGCCTCCAACTACAAAAGAAAAAAAAATCCACATAGATGATGTATCACAACTATATCCAAAATTAAATTCTTCATCTTTCCCTCAAAACTCGTTTTCCCACTTATATTCCTTTCTAACCAGCAATCCAAGTCAGAAATATGAGTATCATTCTAAATTCTTCCCTCTGATTCAACTGGTTCAAACTATTTGATACTTGTATTATCTATCCCTTCTCTTTACCCTTGCTGAGTTTCTTGCCTCATGTTTCATTGGTATATAAAAGGAGGTCATAAATAGTTAAATTAGAAAATAAACTCACGGCTGGGCTTGGTGGCTCAGCCTGTAATCCCAGCACTTTAAGAGGTCAAGACGAGTGGACTGCCTGAGTCCATGGGTTCAAGACCTGCCCAGGCAACTTGGCAAGACCTCGTCTCTACAATAAATCAAAAACTAGCTGGGCGTGGTAGCGCTTGCCTGTAGTTCTGCCTACTTGGAAGGCTGAGATGGAAGGATCGCCTGAGCCCAGCAGGTCGAGGCTACGGTGGCTGGGAGTATGCCACTGTACTCCAGTCTGGACGACAGAGGGAGACGCCAACTCAAAAAAATAAAAATAAATAAACACACTTTGTCCCACTCAGAGCAGGGACTATGTCTTATTCATTTTTGGAGACTGATCACTGAGATGACATACCACTCCAAGATAGCTACTAAATGAATCATTGTTCCAGGGTTCCCATACTCAAATCAAATTCTCAGGGAGTAAGATCCAGGAATCCCTTTTTTTTTTTTTTTCCAGTTGGAGTCTCACTCTGTCGCCCAGGCTGGAGTGCAGTGGCATACTCACAGCCACCGCAGTCTCGACCTGCTGGGCTCTGGCGTTTCTTCTGCCTTAGCCTTCCAAGTAGCTGGAACTACAGGCGCAAGCTATCATGTCCAGCTAATTTTTTTGATTTATTGCAGAGATGAGGTCTCACCAAATTGCCCAGGCTAGTCTCAAACTCCTGAGCTCAGGCAATCCTCTCACCTTGGCCTCCCAAAGTGCAGGGATTACAGGCTTGAGCCACCGAGCCCGGCTGGAATCCATTTTTTAACAAGCTCTGTAAATGAATCCTACATAGCCAATTCAGCAACAGCCTTTAAGAACCAATGAATTGGCCAGGCTCGGTGACTCAGCCTGTAATCCCAGCACTTTGGGAGGCCAAGGTGAGTGGAATGCCTGAGCCCACGGGTTCGAGATCTGCCTGGGCAACTTGGCGAGATCTCATCTCCACAATAAATCAAAAATTAGCCAGGAATGGTAGCACAGCTACTGTAGTCCCAGCTACTTGGAAGGCCAAGGCGGAAGGATCACTGGAGCCCAGCAGGTCAAGGCTACAGTGGCCAGAGTGGCCACTGCACTCCAGTCTGGGTGACAGAGTAAGACTCCAACTCAAAAAAAAAAAGAACCAATGAATTAAGTTCATTCTCACGATGAAAAGGCAGCAACTGAAACAGAAACAGGAATCAAACTAAACAAGTTTCTTGATACTTCTACAAAGACCTAAGAGAAACAGAACCCTGAGACATAAATAAAAATACTTTTTGAATCATCTGCTACTACAACCATTCTCTGTCTAACTCAGCATCCTCATTCAATTAACCAACTGAAATAAGCTACTTCCATATCTGTACCCCTATAAACTATTCTCTACTCAGCAGCCAGAATGATCTTTTTGAAATTCACATCAGAGCATGCCATCTTCCCCTCATCCCATCCCATCCCAGAGATAGTTTATCCTCACATTTTACAATCAAAATCCAAACTTCTTACTCTAGTTTACAAAGCGCTATATAATCTGCCTATCCCACTGTCTTATCCCTCTTAATTCATCTTCCACTCTCCTGCTCTTACTGTCTACATTGCAAACACAATGGTATGTTTTCTTCCTAAAATATACAGAACTGTCCAGTCTTAGAACTTCCACATTTGCTATTCCCATCTGTCAAAAATGTTCTCACTGATCTTATCATGGCTAGCCTGTTCTTCCTATTAAGGATCAGTTTAAATGTCACCTCCTCGGAAAAGCCTTCTCTAACTACCCAATCATGGTGGCTCACGCGTGCAATCCAAGCACTTTGGGAGATCAAGGCAGGAAGATTGTTGCTTGAGGACAGGAGTTCCAGACCAGCCTGAGCAATGTAGTGAGACTGCCTCTCTACAAAAAAATAAAAAAATTATCTGGGTGTGTTGGCATACACTTGTAGTCCCAGCTACTTGAGAGGTTGTGGTGGAAGGATCACCTGAGATCCAGGAGGTTGAGGCTGCAGGAAGCTATGCTATGCTCTCCAGCCTGGGCAAGAGTAAGATCGCTGACTCAAAACAAAAACAAACAAACAAAAAACAAAAAAGTAGCCTTCCACTCACTTGTTAGGACAGCATCACATTTTAACTTCCTATAAGGCATTTGTCACAAAGTGGTATTTTTCCTCTTTACTTGTTCACCATCTCCCACCCACAAAATTGTAAGTTTCATGACAGCAGTAACTCTGCCTTAGCAGTAGACTCACTGCTTGCCCAAGGCTTAGAACAGCACCTATAGAACAGGTGCTCAATATATACCTATAATCAAACAACTTAGAACAGTGCCTAGTAGAAAACAGGTGCTCAACATGTATCTGTTATCAACTGACTGAAGAACAGTGCCTAATATAGAACAGTATAGTTTAGATGTATTTGTTATCAATCTACTTTTATTTTGAGATCACTACCATATGAAGGTCTGATTTTATCCAAGAATAAGTAACAAAATGTAATCTTTTAATAAGTATATCTACTGAGTAAATCTAACCTGTCTACATTAATGGGAAAGCAAAAAGTTCAAGCAAAATTACTTTTTGGATATTCTCACTCAAGAAACTGCAAAAAAAATAAAATAAAATAACTAGGCCAAGCTTGGTGGCTCAGCCTGTAATCCCAGCACCTTGGGAGGCCGAGGCGAGTGGACTGCCTGAGCCCATGGGTTCGAGATCAGCCTGGGCAACTTGGCGAGACCACATCTCTACAATAAATAAAAAACTAGCCAGATGTGGTAGCATAGCGCCTGTAGTTCTGGCAACTTGGAAGGCTGAGGCAGAAGGATTGCAGGAGCCCAGCAGGTTGACGCTGGGGTGGCAATGAGTGTGCCACTACACTCCATCCTGTGCAACAGAGTGAGACTCCAACTCAAAAGTAAATAAATAACGTCTAAAAATTATACTCATATCAAAACTAAGTTATACTTTTCCAGTCACTAGTTTAAAAAAATGAAAAAAAAAGTTGTTGCAAATTTTACCAGTATTTTGAAAAAAAACCCAAATGTCCATCAAAATGAGAATGGATAAACAAATTGAAGCATATCCATAAAAAGACTATTACTAAACAACAGAAAGGAATAAACTCCTATTGATGCACACAACACAGCTGAATCTTAAAATAATTATGTTCAGTGAAAGAAGCCAGACAAAAAGAGTACATACTGTATGATTCTATTCATATGAATAATGACAGAAAGCAGATCAGTGGTTACCTGGGGTGGGAGTAGCAGGAAGGGGGATAACAAAAGGGAAATAGAAAATTTTGAGGAAAGATGAATATTCGTAATATTGATTGTGGTAATTGATTGGTATATACATACATCAAAACTTATCAAACCATACACTTTAAATATGTTCAATTTACTCAATGTCAATTACTACTGAAGCTATTAAAAGCAAATTTTTAAAAACCAGATCAGATCAGTCCCTTGTTTAACACCCGTCAATGGTTCTCCATCCACCAAAAACAAAAAGTGTGTTACAAAAGTTATGAGTTGGAAAGGAAGTAACATTTATTTTTAAAATTTATTTATTTATTTTTTTTGAGTCGGAGTCTCACTCTGTCGTCCAGACTAGAGTGCAGTGGCCGCTCCCGGCCACCGCAGCCTCGACTTACTGGGCTCCGGTGATCCTTCCGCCTCAGCCTTCCAAGTAGCTGGAATTACAGGCATGCGCTATCATGCCCAGCTGATTTTTTGATTTATTGTAGAGATGAGGTCTTGCTGCCCAGGCGGGTCTCGAACCCGCGGGCTCAGGCAATCCACTCACCTCAGCCTCCCAAAGGTGCGGGATTACAGGCTAAGCCACCAAGCCCAGCTAGGAAGTAACATTTAAATAGTATATACACAAGCAGGGCATGGTGGCTCATGCCTGTAATCCCAGCATTTTGGGAGGTAGAGGTGAGAGAACTGCCTGAGTCTAGAGGTTTGAGACCAGTCTGGGCAACTTGGCAAGAACTCATCTCTATAATAAAAAATTAAAAAAAAAAAATTAGCCAGGCATGGTGGCAACATGCCTGTAGTTCCAGCAACCTGGAAGCCTGAGGCAGAAGAATCACCTGAGCCCAGCAGGTCAAGACTGAGGTGGTCGTGAGCATGCCACTGCACTCCAGCTTGGGCAACTGAGTGAGACTCTAACTCAAAAAAATAAAAGTAAAAATAAATGGTACATACATGAAACCAACATCTTAAGCTAATTCCAGTAGCTAATAAAAGCTAAACACACTTCAATAGATTTACATTTTTAACTTTAACAAAAAATGTAAATATTAAACACAAAAATTAACTATACATTTCTACATAAAAAAGCTAAAAATTTATTAAACTCTCACAATTACCTGTAGCAGGTGGTGATTTCTCTGAGTGTTTTGCGTTTAAAAGTTTTCTGCTAATAAATATATAACCACAAGGACAAGATTTACATGCAACAGGAACCTGTAGAAATAAAAAGAAAAAATGTATTATTACTATTTTTCTATTGTTAAATTTCTCAGTATTTGTGCAGTTTCCTAAAATGGATGATGAATTACTTGAAGAAGTAATCACAGATCCATTTAAACCCCAACATAGTGATAACAAACTACTTGAGATGGGTATGTCATATACATATTCAGGTTCTAGTGATGAACAATAAATAGTATGAATACCACATCAATACCATGAAAAGTAAATACATGTTAAAAATGTTCTGATGAGCAGGGCTCGGTGGCTCAGTCTGTAATCCCGCGCCTTTGGGAGGCTGAGGTGAATGGATTGCCTGAGCCCGCGGGTTCGAGACCCTCCTGGGCAACTTGCCGAGACCTCATCTCTACAATAAATTAAAAATTAGCCAGGCGTGGTAGCGCATGCCTGTAGTTCCAGCTACTTGGAAGGCTGAGGAGGAAGGATTGCCGGAGCCCAGCAGGTCGAGGCTGCAGTGGCCGGGAATGGCCACTGCACTCAAGTCTGGGCGACAGAGTGAGACTCCGACTCAAAAAAAAAAAAAAAAGCCGGGCTCAGTGGCTCAGCCTGTAATCCTGCACCTTTGGGAGGCTGAGGTGAGTGGATTGCCTGAGCCCGCGGGTTCGAGACCCGCCTGGGCAGGCAAGACCTCATCTCTACAGTAAATAAAAAATGAGCCGGGCGTGGTAGCGCGCGCCTGTAATTCCGGCTCCTCTGAAGGCGGAGGCGGAAGGATCGCTGGAGCCCAGCAGGTCGAGGCTGCGTGGCTGGGAGTAGCCACTGCACTCCAGTCTGGGTGACAGAGTGAGACTCCAACTCAAAACAAAACAAAACAAAATGTGCTGATGGGTCGGGTGTGGTGGCTGACACCTGTAATCCCAGCACTTTGGGAAGGTGAAGGTGAAAAGATTGCCTGAGTCCAGGGGTTTGAGACTAGCCTGGGCAACTTGGTGAGACCTTGACTCTACAATAAATTTTTAAAAATTAGACAGGCATGGTGGTGCACACCTGTGGTTCCAGCTACTTGGAAGGCTAAGACAGAAGGATCACCTGAGCCCAGCAGGTCTAGGTTACATTGGCCGTGAGTATGCTACTGCACTCCACCTGGAGGACAGAGTAAGACAAAAAATGCGCCAACAGAAAACCATAACGGGGTCAAAGCCAGGGGAAAGATATGGGAAAAAAGTAGCATTCCCTAAATGTTAAGTTTGATAGCAGTTTATAGTACAGAACAAATTGGAAAAGGGAGAGCAGTTAGGAAGTCATTAAAGTAATTCCAGTATAAGATTATAAGGGACCAGCTGGCTATGGCGGCTCACATCTGTAATCCCACCATTTTGTGAGGCCAGAGTAGGAGGACTGCTTGAGGCCAGGAGTTCAAGACTAGCCTGGGCAACATAACAAAGCCCTGTCTCTACAGTAAGTTTTTTAAAATTAGCCGAGCATGGTAGCATGCCTGTAGTCCCAGTTCTAGGGAGGCTGAAGCGGACAGGCTACCTGAGTCCAGGAGTTCGAGGCTGCAGTATACTACGATCATACCACTGCATTCCTGCTTGGGCAACAAAAAGAGACTCCATCTCTTAAAAAAAAAAAAATGTTAGCCGGGCTCGGTGGCTCAGCCTATAATCCCGTGCCTTTGGGAGGCTGAGGTGAGTGGATTGCCTGAGCCCGCGGGTTCGAGACCCACCTGGGCAGCGAGACCTCATCTCTACAATAAATCAAAAAATCAGCCGGGCGTGGTAGTGCATGCCTGTAATTCCGGCTACTTGGAAGGCTGAGGCGGCAGGATCGCCGGAGCCCAGCAGGTCGAGGCTGCAGTGGCCGAAAGCAGCCACTGCACTCCAGTCTGGGTGACAGAGTGAGACTCCAACTCAAAAAAAATTAAAAAATTAAAAAAAAAAAATGTTATAAGGTACCAACTAAAAAAGTGAGAATTAAAATGAAGAAAAGGCAGGAAAAGCAAGACTAAGGCCTAAACTGACCTCTGGTGATATAAAGTGGGAAGAACTAAAAACAACCCAGGATTCTAACATGAGAGGAGACACTGCCAATTACCAACAACAAAAGTAATAATTTACAACAAATTTAAGAAGCCAAAGTATACTGATATAAACAAAGAAAATGTAGGCAAAAGTAGGAGTTCAGATCTAGGATCTTATAGTCTCAGTTCCAGGAACAACCTCTGACAAGAAATTTAAGCTCTTCAGGTTTTTGTTTCCAAAATACATAAATTTTCTTTCTCTATATCAAGTCTATAAATATCTATATTTTAAATTTTAAATGTGTCAGTCTTACATTTTTAGCCAAATGTTGCTGGAAATCATTGAAAAAAAAACTTTAGGTTTCCCCCTCATAACCATTTCATTAATATTAAAGTAAATGGTCCTTGGAAACAAGACATATTCACCAAAAACCTGAAATTAATCTGAAAAAATATCTAAACAAAAAAATTTAATTAGTTGTGGCAGTGGCGAGAGGACTGCCTGAGTCCATGGGTTCAAGACCAGCCTGGGCAACATGGTAAGACCTCATCTCTACAATAAACCAAAAAATTACCTGGGCATGGTGACGTAGTCTGTAGTACCAGCTACTTGGAAGGCTGAGGTAGAAGGATTGCCTGAGCCCAGCAGGTCAAGGCTGTGGTGGCCATAAGCAGCATGCCACTGCACTCCGGCCTGGGTGACACAGAGACCCGACTCAAAAAAAAATTAATTACAATTAATCTCAAAAAAAATTTTTTTTAATTAATCTAAACAAACAAAAAGGTCAGGCATGGTGGCTGGTGTAATCCCAGCACTTTGGAGGCCAAGGCAAGAGGATTGCTTCAGCCCAAGAGTTGAAGACCTGCCTGGACAACATGTGAGACCTCATCTCTACCAAAAAAAAAAAAAAAAAA